GGGGGGGGGGGGGGGGGGGGGGGGGGGGGGGGGGGGGGCTCTCGTGTCCTTTCTGCCTGCTCTCAACTCCTTTTCTCTCCAATCCCCCCCCCTCAGGATCGGTCGAGGTGGACGTTTCGGCCGCAAAGGCGTGGCCATCAACATGGTGACGGAAGAGGACAAGCGCACCCTTCGCGACATCGAGACTTTCTACAACACCTCCATCGAGGAGATGCCTCTCAACGTGGCTGACCTGATCTGAGTTGGCCTGGGGCCGAGAGAGAGGGGGGAGGTCACTGTGCCGGGACACCCACCCCTCCCCATCCCCTCCCTTCTCTCCCCATCCCCAAAATTTAGAGGCACAGTATTCTCCCATTCCTGCCTTTTGGGTTGGGTTTTTTTTATATATATATTTTTGAGGGGTCCTTTTGTTTTTGATTTTTTGTTTGTTTTGTTTTAATTATTTTGGCCTTTTGAATAAATGTCACTTTTTTGGGAAGTTTATTATTTTTATTGTTTGGGGTGGGGGTGGGGAGGCAGAACGAAAAATCTTTGTGTTTTACTCCGGGTGCTCTGGCTGTGTCTTGTTCAACCTCACTTCTCTTTCTCTTCCCCCTCCCTCCCTATAAAATGCAGAACCAGAGTTATCCTTCCCCCTCCCCCCCTTCCTCCGCCAGGAAAATTGAAAGTAACAAAAAACACTTAATTTTGTAGGGTAGTTATAAGGGGTTTGGGGGGGAGGGATTTACAAACCTTTCGACAAGAATCATGGTGCTAAAACGGAGGAACTATTTTAGCTTGAGAATCTTTTTTTTAAAAAAAAAACCTACCTCAAAACAGGTCATGGTTTTTTTTTTTTCCTCTCTCTCCCCCTGTCTGAAATTCAAAACAAAACCAAATTCCCAAGACACTTTCTCTCTCTCTCTTCCTCTTTCTACCTATATATCTCTTTCGGAATGAAACCTTTCCTCCCTCCCTCCAAAAATACCCACATTTTTTTAAATAAAACCGGGAAAAAAAACATTTTTCATACAGCAAACATTTTAAAAAAAATCAATAAAAAAAATCAGAGATAAGAAATCTTTGTGTTACCACCTTTCCCTTTTCTTTTTGTATAGCTTATTTATTCAAAAAGACTTACAGTAAACAAAATAAATGTGATCTTGAGAAAAAAAAAAGGCCCTTGACTTCGAGTGACTTTTGTTCAATGTGGAGGGGGGGGGGGCTTCCCTGGTTGTGATGACCCAAAGGGCGTGGCGCAAAGCTGTAAAGCAGTCACATAAGAGGCCCTTTAATAATAATAACAGCTTATATCCTCTGATGCCAGCTGAACAGTTCCTAGGTCCTTGGTTGGAACTCGAGCTGTGGAGCTACCAAACAGCCCCAAAGTCTGTGAATCTCTCTAAACAATAATAATAGTAATAGTTAGAACCAAAGATTAATAATGGTTAGGATTCGAGCTGTTGAGGTACCAACCAGCCCCAAAGGTTGAATCTCACTAAAGATTAATAATAATAATGGTTAGGACTCAAGATGTTGAGCTACCAACCAGCCTGAAAGGTTGAATCTCACTAAAGATTAATAAATAATAATAATAGTTAGGACTTGAGCTGTTCAACTACCAACCAGCCCCAAAGGTTGAATCTCACTAAATAATAATAATAATGGTTAGGACTCGAGCTGTTGAGCTACCAACCAGCCCCGAAGGTTGAATCTCACTTAAGATTAATAATAATAAATAATAATAACAATGGTTAGGACTCAAGCTGTTGAGCTACCAACCAGCCCCAAAGGTTGAATCTCACTAAAGATTCATAATAATAATAATAATAA